GTATAGGGTCATAGTTCTATTTATTTCCCGAACAACATTCAAAACTGAATGCAAATTAGGATCCAAATGCAAATCGGGGAATTATATACACAGTTAATAAATGATACACATGGATTTCTAAATGATGCTGCAGTTCTATCCTAAGAAGATACATTGAATAGCATACTGGGTTATTTGCTAAAGTAAATTTCAAACCCAAGGCCAGAGTTGCTAAAGTAAAACCATAGCTGAATGATAATTTTTCCAGTTTAACTAGTTTGAATTTGAAATTTTACAACTTTACATTGTATTATTAAGGTAACTACCTGGCATCAAAACACCTGTTTGAGCAGAGAATGTGAGTGTTTGGTCATACTTTATGGCAATGTCATGGTTAGCCTACCAGCCCAGCCCAGATGTCATAGAACTGCAACTCCCATGATGCTTTGCATAACTTTAGAATGACAATGCATCATTTAAGCTGTAGTTTAAAAAAAACTGGTGACCTACCTTTTTGGCGCCCCTGGCCTACACTTTGACAACCCTAGTAAAGCGGAGATTACTGTATTGCTCATCATGCCTATCACTGATTTCAAATAATTGAGAAACTCATGCAGTTTATAGTCCTTCTATACTACAGTAAGGGTAGTGCATTTGAGACTTTGATGATACCCAGATATATCCCCCAACCTTATTTCATCCTTGAAATTCTGTTTGCTCTACCCTAGCTAATGGGATTTTTACAGTTGCTAGTAAAGATTCAAGTTTAGATAAATATTAAGTAAACAGTAAAAAGTGCCTTAACATCTATTGTTTTTTTTGTTTTTTTTTAAATAACATTAAACTGATCTGTAAAACATAGCAAAATATTAAATTGTATCATTAAAAGTACACTCTGAGCACCATAACCACTACAGACTTTTGTAGTGGTTATGGTGCCAGGAGTACCTTGGCTCTGTCCACAATAATATGTCAAACTATTTTAGCATGGTTTCACAACCTGCCTGGGTTACCCAGGCACCCGCACTGTATTCGATCTTTTCTAGCAGGAAATGACAGATGTTTCTGTAGAGCAAAGCACATTAAGTGCAGGACCATGCTCATTAGCGGAGAGCACTCAGCGGAAGCTCTCAGCTAGTGAGCACGACCCTGCATAGTCCTGTTTTGTTCTACAGAGCAATACATCTTCACCTGCTGGAGAAGAACCAATGTAGTGCAGGCAGCCAGCAGGACCCAGGTAAGTTTCCAAAACTTGCTAAAACAAAATCTGACATAATTCTGTGGGACAACACCAGAGTACTCCTAGCACCATAACCTTTACAAAGTTCCCCTAAACGGTAGGTGTTTAACTTCATAATATATTTTGTTTGTCTCTTATACCACCTTCTAAAAACATTTCCAGAAATTGATTTCTATATCTAATCAGCTTAATCTCAACATCAATCCACCAGGTATACACAACGGTCACTGATGAATGATCAAGTTTCATAATGTAAATGTATTTATTCTGGCCAAAATAACATCCAGTGATGGCTCATTTGCTTTATAATACCTAACCACTGAGTAACAACTGTTTCCGACCATGGTAGTTTAGACTTTTCTCTTTCCAAGGCAGATAAAAGTATTGCTATTGCGATATGAACAGACACCCTTTTAGGTTTCAAGTCTGCTTTGTGGTTCGATTTAACTAGACAAAACACAAACTCTTGCAGAGCATGAACATTGAGCAGATTTCCTATTCTACTCATAGCTATTTTGTTTTTGTTTTTTATTCTTTATTTTTGATGGATACAGCATGGATTATAGCTATGGAAAAGTATTAATCAATAAAGAAGGTGATATCTCTGCACAGTTTGTTTTGTTAGAAAAATAACATGTTTAGGTTAATGCTTCAATGTGAGAATCATAGGTAAAGAGCAGTGAGGCATATGCATCTGGACCACATAAGGTATTTTAAACAAGTTAGTCAGACTGAACGTGTGTATGCGATATGATAGTAGAGTGAGTGCAATCAGTCAGGCACAGTAACTAAGATAAAAACTGATTAATCCACTCTTTTCGTAGTGAATATGTAATGCAGGTTGCCAGGCATGTCTATGCTACTCATAGCTGTTTTAACCCCTTAAGGACCAAACTTCTGGAATAAAATGGAATCATGACGTGTCACACATGTCATGTGTCCTTAAGGGGTTAAGGGGTTAAACATATTTAGACCATAGAAAGATTTTCTAATACTGCTTCAAAACAAAGTTTTTGCTCTACCAGAATTCCTAAAGGAACGCCACAAACATCATAACTACTACAGCTCGTTATAGTGGTTATGGTGTCACAAGTGCCCTAGAACCCTTCTGGACTAAGTGGCACTTGGAGTGTTCCTCTAAATATCACATGACTAGAAACAATCGAAATATGAATAGCACAATTTTCAGCAAAGGGTTTTGCTGTTTTAGTGCAATACTAAGGGGAAAAATTTGTATATGTATCAGAGTTTGTGTAACATTGATAATGTAAGATCAACACACAGTTTACACGTGTCAATAATTTTATATTATATCTCTAAATGCTTCACTTGGACAGCTCTGAAGGTAAACATTTTGCAGCCCTTTAATTACAATATCAATGGCTGAGTTAATATCGTATAGACATGCTTAACCTCTGGATTTTCCATTTTGCAGATGTTTCAAGAAGATTCCTTGCATTCATCTTGGATGCAGAATTCCTTACATGTCTTTTGTGCAATCAGCGGGACGACAACTGAATGAGTCTCAGTAAAGAGTCTTACAAAGTGAAGAAAAAAATCTCAGGAAAACCCTGTACCAAATCTCAAAATTGTCCCATCCCCTAGTCAGTGCTTTCAAGTTCGAAATGCTTTAAGGAAATGGATGATTTTTTTTATACGAATTGTATGTTATTGCTATGTAAACAAAATAAAGCTATATAATGTATATAAATATAATATATTGTCCCTTTCTATGTGCTTATGTGTTTCTATAGGCTTAGTCTTTCTGTGTTAATAAAAAAAATCATCTGTGGCTGACAGATGTTGAGGAGCCATAAGATACAACTGATTACAAGATTACAATCAAAGCGAAACAAGTACTGTGTTTGCTTTTTGCATACATACACATGCGTGATATATATTTATAAACTGTCTTTACAGCCATCCATTTATGAGAGTGTTTGCATAACTCTCCCAGTAGACCATACACAATCCTTTTATTCCTTTAGTTTCCTCTGGCAACAGAAAATATCCAATGTAGCTTCTGGGCCAAAACTTGGTTTTTGTTGACTTGATTTTTGGATGGAAATCTCTTGGCAACAAACGCCCTCCCCCCAAAAAAAACACTCTCCACACTTGCTCCAAACACCATGACCACTTCAGTGATTTAAATTGGTCATGATGCTTGGAGTCTGGTTCTTAATGAAACGCTTCACATATCAAGATAGACACTGATACTGTAACTCCACTGCCAGCAAAGTCATTGGGGTATCAATAGCCAGCCCAGAACAACAGTTCAGTTTACAGTTTGGCTCATCTATATAACGGTCATGAAAAATATTTGAAGAAATGATTTGGTTTAACAAAAAAAGAATGCAAAAATGGGTCAATAAGTGTATTGCAAAATATATACAAAATATAAGTATTAGGTGTATATTTTGCAGTACATTGATAGTCGCATTTTCCTGCAATTTGGTTCACAGGTGAAGTGAGAAAAAGTAACCAATAGTTTAAACATATTTTGTTGTAGATTCTGTTTTATTTAGAACATGTTAACCCCTGCTCTGTTAACCCCTTAAGGACTGAGCCAAATGTACACTTTGTGAACAAAACAAAATGTAAACAAAACCTGGCATTTGCGCTATATGTCTGTCCAACCGTAATTCACCTCTTTCATATTAAATGCACCCACCCTTATTATATATCATTTTATTAAGGGGAAACAGGGCTTTCTTTTAATATCAAATATTTAGCTATGAAACATAATTTAATATGAAAAAAATGGGAGAAAATAAGATTTTTTTTATTTTTTTAGTTCTACATGGACAATACTTGTTCTACAAGTATTCAGCAAAGTCTCACGTGTAAAACAGTACCCCCTATGTACAGGTTTTATGGCGTTTTGGGAAGTTATAGGGTCAAATATAGCACATTACATTTGAAATTGAAATTTGCCAGATTGGTTACGTTGCCTTTGAGACTGCCCAGGAATGAAATTTACACCCATAGTGGCATACCATTTGCAATAGTAGACAACCCAAGGTATTGCAAATGAGGTATGCCAAGCCTTTTTTAGTAGCCATTTGGACACAAACACTGGCCAAAGTTAGCGTTAATATTTGTTTGTGTGTGAAAAATGAAAAAAACGCCAATTTTGGAAGGGAGCTTTTTTTTTTTTAAAGCTCTCTCTATAATTTTAAATACTCTACTACTTTCACCATTTCTTTTGCAGTGTGCTGTAAAGTGCACAGTGTATGATATAATGAATCCCTACAATCTTCTTTCTATGTGATTCCCCTTTTTACCCGGTTTTATTCTTACCAGGTCAGTCCTGGGCTGCCTGAGACCTTTAGGAGTCTTCCTAACTGCAATTAGGGTCCCTGGCTTTCCGTCCTCGGTTCTCCCAGGTCGGGAGCTCGGATAGGACACCCGCACATGCGCAATGCGCTCGGTTCGTTTTGGCGCCAGAATGCAGTCTGGGTAAGGTCGCGAGGTCGCGGCGGCCATCTTTACTATGGGCAAGATCTGAAAATTACAGGTAAATTGCAGAAAACGCCAGAAAACAGGTTAGTAAATGGCTGGTACTATTTAAAAGAAGCTGGGACTCGAAGAGGTTGTTGTGGATTCAGTTATTTTACAATTTGAATTGGATTATCTAAAAGAGAAGCTAGGACTCTGGAATAATTTCTATTCTTTGCCACAGGTTTGTGTATTTCTGGTATACATGTATCCCTTTATTTTGATAATTGTTTTGTGTATTCTAAGAGAATTATTTGAAATTCTTTATTGTAGTTAGCACATTATGAGCTCTACTAGTAGGAATCCTTTACCCTGTTCAGCAGAATCCAGGTGAGTAAGACTTCATATATATTTTATATATAACGTTAATAATGTTTTTACTCTCCATCTGCTAACAGTTACTTATACTACTTTTAGTGATGGAGAACAGTCTATATCATCTCCCCCACGAAAGAGGAGACAGAAGTCAGACCCCTGTGCAGGATGTGATGGGAAGGCATTGGAAGGCAAACCGCTGTGCTTAAACTGTTTCCAGAAGGTGGCCACTCCAGCAGCCGTAACACCCACTCAGTCACCAGATATCCTGACTTGGATCCGACAGGAGGTGGCTCAGGGCATCTCAGAGGCTATGAAGGCAAGTAATCGGTCCGTGAAAAGACCAAGACAGAGACTGGTATCCTCAGAATACCTGGATTCAGCTGAAGAGTTTCAGGTTCTCGGTCAGATTTATTCTAGTGAGAACGAAGAAGAGGTCTTGTCGGAATATCTAGATGCCAAGACGGTGGATAAACTCATCCTGAAGGTAAGAAAGACCCTTGAATTACCAGAAGATCTTCCTAAACCTGAAGTTTCTGATAAACATTTTGCGGATCTTAGGAAGCAGAAGCCTTCCTTCCCTCTTCACAGAGCCATTAAGGAGGTGGTTACCGCAGAATGAGAAAAACCTGATAAAAAGGTTCCATTTCAGGGCAGGCTATCCAGGCTTTACCCTTTGGAGGAGAAAACTTCAAAGAAATGGACGACACCTCCAAAAGTTGATGCTACCATCTCTAGGGTTGCTAGGAGAACTAGTCTACAACTGGATAGTGCAGCCTACTTGCAGGAACCAATGGATAAGAAATTGGATTCTGATCTTTCCAAGATATATTCAGCGGGAGGTACTGGATACCATCCAGCTGTTTGTCTTACGGCGGTCTCCAGAGCCATGAAAAGTTGGATAAAAGACCTGGATACAGATGTGGAAAGAGGAATTAAGAGAACAAACCTCAGGGATTCTATTTACAACCTTCGGATAGCTACGGAATTTGTCACCCAAGCTGCCCTGGATATCACCAGGATCTTCTCCCGCACCATGGCCCTCTCGGTAGCAGCTAGGAGAGCTTTATGGTTGCGTTGTTGGGGTGCGTATTCCTTTTCCAAGGCCAATTTATGTTCCATACCTTTTGAGGGCGAGCTTCTATTTGGAAAGAACCTAGAGGAATCCATTAAAAAAGCTGCTGAGGGGCGTAAGGTCTTTCTACCCTAAGAGAAAAGAACCAGGAGACCAGGCTCCTCTTGTTCAGATATGCGACCTCCGAGGGATCAATATTTTCGGGATGCTCGTAGCTACCGACCAGGTAGAGAGTTCAACAGGAGTAATAATTGGCGTGGGGGCCAATCATATGCTTCACGTTCTTCCCGAGGTAGAAACCCTTCCTTTTGTGGAGGCAAGAACTTTTGACTATCCGTCAGAGGTCGGTGCTCGACTTTCCCTCTTCTGGAAGGTTTGGGCACAGGACATACAAGATGCCTGGGTCAAAGCTATAATTCAAAGAGGGTACATATTGGAATTCCTCAGAAGACCCAGAGGCAACTTCTTCATTCCCACAGGTCTGCCCACAGACAAGGGCAGAAGCAGGGCTCTGGGAGATTATGTTCAGAACCTCAGGTCCCAAAGGGTTATCGTTTCAGTGCCAGAAGAGGAACGATTCCAGGGGCACTATTCACCTCTGTTCTTAGTCCAGAAAGACAAGGACAAGTGGAGACCTATCCTGGACCTGCGGAGGATCAACAGGAGACTTCAATCAGATCCTTCAAGATAGAGTCTATAAGATCCATCTCCCCAGCTATGCGGAAGGCAGATTGGCTCATATCCATCGACCTATGGGACGCCTATTATCACATCCCGATAGCCAACATCATCGTTTTCTCCGATTTGCTATAGGAGAAGACCACTTCCAATTCAGAGCACTTCCATTTGGCCTGAGCACAGCACCCAGAACCTTTTCAAAGGTATTGGTCGGTCTTATAGAAAGACTGAGGATTCAGGGAATCTCTTTGTTCCATTACCTGGACGACCTTCTGCTGGTAGCACCAAACATCCAGACGGCGGTGCTTCACAGAGAATTTGGGCTATCAGAACTTCATCGATTCGGCTGGTTAGTGAATCTACAAAAAGCAGCCTCATTCCTTCCTAGAAGATTACGTTTCTGGGGGCGAACACACTCCGGAACTCTATCTCCCTTTCACAGGAAAGGATACAGAGGATTTTAAGCTTCATCTACAAGATTCTGCACCTTCGTGTGATAACAGCAAGAACATACTCACAACTGCTGGGCAATCTGACCTCTTCTAAAGGACTAGTCAGGTGGGCCCAGTGGCATCTCAGAGTTCCTCAGAGGTCGTTCCTGTATCAGTTCAACCGGCGGGTTATGGATTGGAATCAACCCTTGAGGATCTCTCATGTAGTCAAAATGGACCTGGCCTGGTGGTTAAGAAAGGTGAATTTGGAAAGAGGTTTTCCTTTGATAGAACCCGAGTGGGTCCTATTAACTACAGATTCCAGCGCTCATGGTTGGGGTGCCCACTGTCAGGACCGGATGACTCAAGGTCAATGGAACAAACAGGAGTCGGTTCTTCCAGGGAATGTTTTGGAATTACGGGCCATCCACAGAGCTTTCCTACACTTCAGGAGGATCCTGAAGAACAGAACAGATGGAGTCCAGTCCGACAACCAGGCGGCTTTGGCCTATGTTTCTCATCAAGGCGGTACTCGCAGCCAACTGTTGATGAAGGAACTGCGGCCCATCATGAGTTGGTGCCAGAAAAATGTTCAGGGTATCTCTGCAGTATACCTTCCGGGAATTCAGAATACCATGGCGGACTACCTGAGCCGCCTGACCATAGACAGGAGCGAGTGGCATCTAAGCCCTGAAGTATTTCAGGAGCTGTCTTTGATTTGGGGAACCCCAGAGATAGACCTCATGGCAACGGCCGAGAATACCCAGGTCGAAGCCTTCTTCTCGAGACTGGTCGATCATAGGGCCAGGGGACAGGATGCTCTATCCCAACCTTGAAAGTTCACTCTGGCCTATGTGTTCCCTCCTATACCTCTCATATTCCCAACTCTGAAGAAGATTCAGAAGGAGAAGGTAGAGGTCCTCACGTTCTGGCCCCGGCGACCCTGGTTCCCTATGGCGAGACGGATGAGTCGGGAACCTCCGAGGGTACTCCCGTTCCAGGCAGATTTACTATCACAGGGACCACTGCTACACCCAAACCCGCTAACACTCAAGTTGGAGATTGAGCGGGAAGCTCTGATGAATGCTGTCATGCCTGACGCAGTCATTAGAACTCTCCTGAGGTCTCGTAAGATATCCACTTCCTCCACATATTATAGGATTTGGCATACCTTTGTTTGCTGGGCGCAAGAACACCAGGTGGTGATTAAACCTCTGGCATTATCTTCAGTGCTCTGTTTCCTTCAGGCTGGCCTGGATAAAGACTTTAACACTCTGAATCTCCAGGTATCAGCTCTATCCACTTTGTCAGGTACCTGATGGGCACTGGAACCATTGGTCACCCGTTTTCTTAAAGCGGCAATAAAGATCTGGCCTCCTCTGAAGGTATTTCTGCCGGCATGGGACCTACCTCTGGTCTTGAAGGCCATGACTAGGTCTCCCTTTGAACCACTTGACCAAGCTCCTTTGCTGGTACTCACTCAAAAGGTACTCCTATTGGTGGCAGTTACTTCCGCACGACGGATATGTGAGCTCCAGGCATTATCCTGCGAAGCACCTTATATGAGGATACTTCAGGACTGTTTAGTCCTCAGACCAGTCCTGGAATTTTTACCTAAAGTAATATCTAAGTTCCACTTGAACCAGGAAATTGTTCTACCATCCCTCTATCCAAATCCCTCTACTCCTGAAGAAGAAATTTGGCACACTCTGGATGTGGTGCGAGCATTATCTATCTACCTGGAGAAGACCAGCCCCTTCCGCAGATCACCCAGACTATTTGTATTGCCTTTTCAGGCGGGGTGAAGCGGCCTCTACCTCTACATTGAGACAATGGGTGGTTTCGGCCATCTCATGTTCTTACAAATACTTATCACTGCCGGTTCCTACTGGAGTCAGAGCTCACTCTACTAGGGCTATCGCAGCATCTTGGGCTTCTGTGGCAAATGCTTCTCCTGATGAGATTTGTAAGGCTGGCACTTGGTCTTCAGTGAACACTTTCATCCGCCATTATAAGCTGGATGTTAGAGCTACAGTGGACTCTCATTTTGGTCATCAAGTCCTTAATTCAGTCCGCTCCTCTCGACGCTCGTAATATGTATATGTAGATTTATCTGCATTAATAAAAAATTTTCCTCGCAAGGACCTCACTCTCACATGGCCGGGGGGGACCGGAGGAGGCAGGATCCACTGCGGGAGACTCCCTGGGATCCCAGGTGAGTCTCCCCAACCGTGATCGCCGGCGTGGGATCGCCAGCGACCAGGTAAGTAAAAAAAAAACGGAGGGCGTACTATTACGCCCTGCTGCATTTAGAGCCACTTAGAATAGGGTGTAATAGTAAAACACACCCTCTGGTTTTAAGGGGTTAATGGCCTGCAGGAGCCTTCTGAGTGTGATTAAAGTATGATCAGAGTTTAGAGTAAAGTAAGTTAAGATCTGATTGAAAATTAAACCATTTTTTGGTGTAGGCTGTGTCAGTCACAGCCAGGGGAGGCTTTTACACACATTCAGTACTCACTAGTATTTGACCAGAGTGTCTCCGACATGCTAGTGATCACCAATTGATTTTGTTTTTTTTATCTCCCCCTTTCACACAACCCTTTATATTGTTTGAATATAATGTAAAAAAATATAAACAAAAAGATCTTAATTTTGTTTCACTTATCTTTAAATGATTAGGGTTTATTTAGGTGTAAGAGCAAAGCATTCAACTTCCCCAGGTTCCAGGGTACAAGTGACCCCACATATGCATTAACTATAACTGTACTTTACATAGTGATTGAGTCCTACCATTTAATATATTTGCTCTAGAGACTCTGCAATTTTGGATTATTATCCATAACTGCTTATAAATTTTCCTTTATCCTGGACTTCATCATGGCATCATGCCCTGTGTCTGATGCTTCTACTGTATTAAGCATAACATATAGTTAATTGGTTTTATATAAGAAGGTAGTAGAGGTTTTAAAAGTTTAACGATGAAGGGCCCTTCCACAAAAGTGGGCTTTTTTAGCACGGCCTAACAATCGGGCCCTCCCCTGTGCCTGGATACTTACCCATGACTGGCAATTGAGGAGTCCCCCTGCAGCCAATTTCAACCATCCATAAAGCTGCGATCACATGATTGCATGATTGACAGATTGACTATAATTAATTTATAATTAATAGAAAGTTATATATTTATTATTTTATTAATTATATAGTGGGGGACCTGTCTGACAGCCCAGGCAGAAATACCAGGTAATTAATCCCTGTAACTTTCCAAAACCCCATAAAGCTATTGTTGTACTTGTGAGACACAAATGTGTGTGTTTTAGAGCAGTAAAACATATAATGACAATGATATCATCAGTAGCAGTGCAGTTTTTGTGTCAAAAATGCAAAAAATAAATACGAAACTTTGACCAGGGTTTGTGACTAAGTGGCTGCTAAAAAAGA